AGCTTAGCTTGTTTGTCATGCTTTGCGGTCTTCATCAAACCTTAAAATAATCACATTATCGACATGTGCAATTACTAGGCAAGATACATACCTAAAATAGTCAAGTTCTTATTCAATTATTCGTGCAATTGGAAGGTGCTGAAGCATTTTCTTGGAAAATAAATAGAACAAAACTTGAGCTTTGTAAGTGTTGTTAGTATGTTTAATTTCTAATCCAAATCAGCTGTTCATCTCAATAATTGTCGTTTTCTTTTTAATAATTGAAGTTGGTAACGATCAGTGAGCTAAATGTTAATTTTGATTTTGATTGAAGAACAAAGCACTATTTCTTTAAGGATACAAAGTTGATGTTAGAACTTATTACATCATATATACAACCTCAATTCTCGCTATTAGGCCGATCATGCGGAATTACTGATTTTAAAAATACTTGATATGATACTATAACTAAGTTTATAGCGCATCATAATTTTCTTTCTTTGTCTGCAAAAATAGTTGGAAAATTGATACAAACTCCTAGTGTCCCTAATGTTATTTGGTTTGGAGCTGTACCGTGTTGATCTTGTACTCTAGCAATCTTTGACAGATGAGGTTTATCCATGTGTCCATGCAGATTAACTTTTGGTATGATGTTGAATTTTACATGATACAGAGATGAATATTATGAAAGTGGGACACCAATTATTTATTGCAGCCAGCAGGCCTATGAATGCGATGAAATGGGAATGCAAAAGATCAATTACATTTTGAATTGATTCAACAAATTGCATTATTAGTGTTGAAGGTAAAGTAGCGATATACTAGGAAGGTCAAAAGTGGGGAAGTAGGAGTAATCGTAACACATGGGTTTCTGCAAAGCTGATTTTGTTTGCATTGAGTCTAATGTCTGATTCAACTTAATTTCACGTGGCATTCATCAGATCACAGTATCACATAACCAACAATCAGAAAAGCCAAAGCAATACCATCACCAGGTTGTACCGGAGAGTACATGTAGGTCCGTGAACTCAGGTGGGGAGAGATACTAGCACACGGTGTTGTGTATTGCATTCTGTAGGATTCTATGGAAAACATACAAGGCCAATGTAACTCATCAACTATTTTTTACATTTTCCATTTGTCTTTGTCACATTATTTAATTTATTACGTATTATTTTTTCTTTCTCTGTCTCTCTTTTCAGTGTAATTTGTTATCAACATTTTTGTACAAGTCACATGACTCAAGCCGTGATTTTTGCATGTTTGTGGGGCTAGATGCGCGCATTTAAATTTAATCCAGACATTTCACTCGCGCCTTGCGAGAGTTAAAAAAATGTTCAAGTTATATTGTGGATATTAATGAATTATATAAATAATTTAATATTATATTAAAATTTTTGTAAAATATTTATGCGGAAAATATTCACACACAAAAATTGATTTAATTCAAAAAATAATAATAACATTCTTGATACACATTGTTTAAAACTATTTTGAATAGAGAAAATTAGCATCCTATAACATAGGATGTAATATACGTGTAATTGATAATGTGTATGAATAAGTGATAAGAGACAATTAGAAGGAATTAAAATAGTTGAATGGTAATTGGAGAAGAGATTTTTAATTTCATATCGTAGTGATAGATGACTGAATCTTTTGCTTTGAACATTTTCTTGTTTTCATTTTCATAAAAATTAGAAAACAATAACGAAAATAGGTGTGACTACATTTTATTTCTTTTAAAAACCAACTAAAATCTAAAATTAAAATAATGTTATTTTTCAGTTTTCTAAAAAAAACAAAAAGAAAACGTGGTAGCATGATATAGTTTTATTGATATTTACTTTTTCTTTTCTTTTCAAAACATGTTTCATTTTTATAGTCTTGTAGAAGAAACAATTTTACTTGTGTTTTACGTGCTCTCGTTACTGGTATTTTTTTTTTTTTTGCATAACTTTTTAATTTATATCATGCAAGTTATTTGCATAGATTTTTTTTCTGGTTTGTAATGTTTTTTCTCCTTATTTTTTTTTTACCATTAATAGATGTAGTACATGAGCCGCTATTTTTTCTTTTTTTCTTTTTGAGCCATGCTGCATAGATATTTGCTTTTCCAATTGTAACTTATCTGATAATATGATGTAAAATTAATTGCTTGAGTAGATCAATTGTTTGATAAAAAAAGTTTAAAATAATTAAATCTAAAATATTTTCTAAGCACTATTTTAAAACTAAAAAAAATATAAAGTTAAATAAAGGATACGCAATTTTTAACATTATATATATATATATATATATATTACTAACATAATTATAAATATCATAATATGAATATGAATATCATCATCGATAATTGTTTTCATTGTGATATTGATATTTTTAATTATTTTTAATTATCTCTTCTGACGGTCAATTATTAAGAGTAGTTGTCGTATTGGTTGAGGAAGACGAAATAGAATGGTAAAAAGGTTATGATGATTATAGAGAGGATGTCGATACAAGAAAATAGACAATATTGGAGTAGGCGAGCTTAAGCATGGTTTTGGCGTGGACCACAAGGTCAAAGGCAAAGAGGAAAAGGTTAATGTCGATATCACCTTCGAGAAGGGGAAGGTAGTGGGGAGGAGGATGAGGGTGTCACAGTCGATACATTAGATCCACATTCAATGATAGTGTCGGAACTGTTAATCCATTTGGTGAGCATAGGAAAGGCTAGATTTCGAAAGTAGATTTGTAGTTAGGTTTTTAGAAGTGAATTTAAAGCTAAGTTTACATAGATGGAGATATATATTAGAAAAATGAAGAGATTATAGAATGACATGTCAACATTTTGCTGACACGACAACGCCTAAAGTTTATTTTAAAATGATATGTTATCATAATAAAATAGCTCAAATTTTATGTTATAAATAGATAGATTCGTTACCCTGTTGTAATTATAAAAAAAAATTTGTCGGTCATGTATATCCAAAATGGTAAAGGGTCGATAGATTAGGATCCATCTCTCAAGAGATTGATATCTTTACAACAATATGGAGGTTCAAGCTACCATCAAAACCACCATATTTTGTGTGGAGGTTGATGTTGGATATACTACCAACAAAGAGCAATCTCACTAGTAGGGGGATTCGGCTTATAGAAGAGAAACAAATATGCCAATTATGTTAAAGGGAGATAAAATCAAGTTCTCATTTATTCTTTAAGTGTAAAGTGGTGGTTGACATTTGGAACATGTGTTATAGTTGGATAAATATAAACATTGTTTTGCCAAGATCAACAATACAACATTTTTGGCAAATGAAATTACCTGAGAATCAACTTGGCTATTGTGTTATTTGGAATACAAGAAACAAGTTTGTATTTAAGGGTGGAGATTTTGATAGGAGGGAATTGTTACAAAAAAAAAA